ATAGTGACATTATTTTTTTATACGAGTATTGAAAATTTTAGTATCTATAAAGAATATGTTAACATACTGAAAGTTTTAGAAAAGGATATGGTCAGCAATTGGTGGAAAAATCGGTTAGCAAGCATAAAAAAAACATACAGTTAATAAACATAAAAACCCATTAAAATTTTACCAATCAAATCTTCCCAAGGGCCCCCGACTGTGAGTCGTTCTGTTCTGTATTACTTAACAGAATTCTAAACTACTGGGCTTGTTTCTTTCTTTTAAGTTTTTATTTAAGTTAATTTTTTCATGTATTTTTTTAAATTCGTTTTTACGTAGTCGGGTTTTTTGTTTTTCTTTAAATTATTTTACTATCTAAGCCTGTACGTTAAAAAAAAGCGCGTTGGTGTCTTATTATTTGTAGTACCTAGGTCAAAATCATTAACCTTTTCTTACAATAATCTTTAAATCCATCTCTCGATGATATTTGTAATTACTGTCTATAATTTGTCTATAAAAACTTCGCGCTATAGATAAAGTAAAACGATAAAATAATTCATACAGTAGTTTTTCAACGCATTTTTGAGGTATGGAAATTTTAAATTCTCCATAAAACTTACTTATGTGTATCCATAAATATTGATATAAATATATTATGTTATATTTTATGTTGACGACCTCCGTAGCCGAGTGGTTCGCACGCCGGTTTCAAGGTGTCGCCATCTCTGAGGTCCCGGGTTCGATTTCCGGTCGGGTCAATGTATAAAATGAACTTTTCTATATTGACTCGGGTCTGGGTGTTGTGGCACCTTCGTTGTCTCAGATACTCCATAATACGGGGGCTTTAGCTACTCATCTTGGAATCTGAGCAATGTATGTGATGTTGTTAAATATATTTATTTATTTATTTATATATAAAAGTTTGCATTTACAATGCTATGCTATAAAATATTCTTAATGAAAATGCTTAAAAAAATCACATTATTCATTGAAGTGGTGGTTTCATATCTCATTAGAGCATCAGCTTTAATTAGGACCTTTTTGTACCATATTTTGTACAAAATACGCAACGAGAGTAAAGACACACTCGTTAGATTTTATAAATTTTTAATCAGAAAAAAAAAATGCAGTTATATATATATTTAACATACTTTAGATTATATGAAAACTAATTATTATATACCTCTATATTTTTATACAGTTAAGATGAAATATGTTTGTCGTTAAATCGATCCCCAAAAAAACCTACTTAAAATCATATTGCAATTTTTTTTTTCTATCGAAACCATTATTGAAATTCATGTTTCTGCTTATAACGAGCATTTGACCTTATGTTTAATTTTCATAAAACTATTTTTACTTTCTAAATATTGGCAAAGCCCTAGAATAAAATTGGTTTAAAAGAGGTCATTTCGAACAACATTGCCTTAAGAGCTTTAATGTATTTCTGCAACTGGTTGAATACCGAAGGATCACTCAGTTAAATAAATATTGGAAAATATCACACACATTTCTCAGATCCCAGATAACAATATAAGTATGAAACAACGAAGGTAACACAACACCCAAACTCGAAACAATGTAGAAAAGATCTTTTTCCGCCTTGACCATACCGGGAACCAAACTTGGGACCTGAAAGATGGCGATACCATGTAACCCGCGTGTGAGCATCTCTCCCAGAGACAGAGGTCCTTATGACGTAATGATTTGATTCGTAGTTAGTTTTTTTTAAGTTAGTGAGTTGCACCATAACGCGGGCGGAATAATAGTTCTATTGATCTCACGTTTTTAGTTATTAGTAATAACCTATTAATTATCATCATTATCACCAGCCAACTGCTGACGATCAGACGTTCCCTATGGATGAAATCGAATCGTATAGGGACGATGGCCCACTACGCAGGCCCAGTGCACATTGGTGGGTAATAACGACTGCATATGCAGCCAGGACCAATGGCTTAACGTACATACCGCATCACGGAAGAGTTCGAGGAAATAAATTTTTGGTCACCCATCATGTGACCGACCATTGCAAAATTTGCTTTAAAACCGTATCGCAGACAGATCCCGCTAGCCACTGCGCCATCGAGTTATTACGTACTAGTTCTTGTTGATGACATAATCTCTCCATCATATCTGGTATATTATTATCATCACTTTCATTATCATAGTGTGCTGCTCAACTGCTCTGTCGGAGTCCATCTTCATTCAGTGAAACACGAAAATACTACTATGACTCTCTGCACGGCTTTAAAAATGCAAACCGCTACAGATGCCATCTGAATTAATAGTTAATCAACCTTCTGATGTAAAAAATCTCTTAACTTATTAATTAGGACACCCATTTGAAGACTACCTATTTGAAACCTCCATAACCAAAATCACATGCACCAGTACCGCGCCGATCAAAAGATGCTTTGTGTAATTCACTTGAAAGATTTTTACCTAAACGTGTTTTATAGATTTGCTGAATCTTTCAAATATTTCAGTTATCTATCACTTTTTTCTATACTGATTGTATAAAGGGAAAAGATAAAAAACTCAACTTCAACAATTTATCATTCATTACACGACAGTGACATTCGCCTTGTCGTTAGATCTTCAATTTTTCCGATAAATGAGGCATACGAATAAACTTACCTAGTGTATATAACGTCGCTTAGGCGTTGTCTCACATACATTTCGGTATTCCTATGTGTCATTTTATTTATGCAGTTTTCTAACGCGGCATTGTGTGTTGCTAATACTATTGTTATCTCGGTCTGCACCGGTATGTGTGAGGTAGACAGTGGCCTTGCTAGCCTGGCCTTATAACCTTTGCTCAAGTATCTCTTCAGGACTTTTCCGCAATGACATTTCCGTTTTTATTTTTAGCCGAAGGTTTAGAGATAAGTACCACCATTTTGGGTTCGGGGATAGTTATCTTCGATAAATTATGAATCATAAAGTATATTTAAGTATTTATTTTTCTCTTTGAAATTACAGTTTCTGTTATTATTTTTGTAATTTGTAACTATTGAAAAGAGATACTGAGATTAAATCTAGAAATTATATCATATTCCAAGGTTATTGTACCAATAAATTTATGAACAATGATTAAACAATAAATAATATCTATAAGTCCACTTAGCTTTGTTCTAGTTCAAATCCTACAAACGGGTGTTATCAATTTTGTATTAGATTTTGTATTATCTTTAAATTGATTTTATGTAGGACAAGATGCATGCGCCCTACTTAGCACTGCACTTGACCAAGTAAAGTGCATAGTATAGTTTAGTCATTACTATAATATGACCATCATTACGATGAAGAACAAAACAAATAAATAATTTATTAAAAATATTATGAGGGAAGTCTTGTTGCTCATTCAAAGGCACTATAAATAACAATACCTAACATATTAACATAAGTTATAACGTTTTCAATGATTTTACCATTGTTAACTTAAGGAACACATTTTTATGTATCTTTTATTTTATTTTATTAATTATAATTACATATATACTTTTTAATATTAATTGCTACAAAGAATTTTTGCGAATTTTAGCTGTTCATTGTTATTAATTTTAAGCTAAATAAAAGTGTGTTCTAAATAATAAAATATAAAACTCTACAAAACTTTGTATGTATTTTTTTTTGTTCGTTAATTTTATAAGAATTACCAATTCATAATAAAAAATATTTTATTACATTAATGTTAATATTATTATTTATTTAATATTCATCTGCTTACAAGTTTGTTGGAAAGTATTTTATATGCATATTAGTCTTCAAGAGAAGGTTTCCGGGAATATCAAATAATCTAACTACTTTGAGTGAGCTTTGAGCTTCTGATATTTATAAAGTGGTGTCACAAATCCTTAAATTTGTAAAATGATGGCTACCATTGTTTACTCACATTTGACATTGCATGGGAATATTTCGATAACACCTATGTATAGGCATTTATGGTTAATTGTAGTTCCGCGACTCTTATCACAATATCGACCGAGGTAACGAACCTGACAATGAATTGTGAATAGTGATGTTCCGATGTCGATATTGCATCGAATGCCTAGTATCATGTAAGTTTTATGTAGCGTCTAATTTAGTGATCATTTATATGTTATGCTTTGAAGATATAAAAAAATAAAGGATATTAGGATATTGAAGCGTTTGCTAACAAAAAAAATGTTTGTATTTCTAAATCTTGTTACATTACACAATGTTCAAAAATACTCAAGCCCGACGAATTAGAAATGTATTTCAATATAGGTAAATTTTAGTATTTATATACTTGTATTTATATACTTAGCGGTATCATGAAAATTCATGACTATAGTATAAAAGGTATATGTGTGAATTTGTTATTCGAATTTTAAACATACCTATGTAAACATTATATATATAGGTTATTAAATTTATGCTAATTTGGTAATGAAATATTTTCCGTAGTCCAGGTTGAAACGGTGAGAGATAATACGAAGTACGAAGAACATTCTTCGCCCTATACGATTTGATTTAATACCATCTATAGGAAAGGCCTGTAACCTAGTAAACTGTCAATAAGACATTAATAAGATAGATAGATAAACACTTTATTATAAACATCATAATAACAGTTTACAGATAATTTTATGGTTTTAAGTGGGCAAAGGCCGTCTTGTCACTAAAAGCGATCTGTTCCAGACAACCTCAATTATCGGAATATGTGAAGAGAGTGGAGGTAGTGTGCCGAGGATAACAATGTATATATACATATTCATAACGTAAGTAAAATGTATATATACACACATCACATACAAAAAAAGGAAACACTTAAGTATTAAGATTTTGATATGGCCACAGACTCCGCCTTATGGATTTCAGACGGCAGTGAATTTCATAGCCTAACAGTAAAAAAGCAGTTGATGATGATAGTTTTTACAGATTTATCGATATCGATAAAATTACCAATGAGCGTGCAACTTTGACAAAAGATATAGGGGTCAGGCCTTCAAACATACGAAGCAGAACCATTTCTGTTCAAATCATATAACTTTAAATATCCTTATGAAATCAATCACTTCGTAGTTGATGCACGCTTGTCGCGTGCACTACACCTTTATTTATATATAGTTATTTATATACATTTTTTATTTATTTAATTTATATTCAAAAAAGTATAAAAGTTTTCACTATTGTGTCTGTTCAATCATTAAAGCTGTATCGAATACTCAATCATGTTTCAATTCAAAGTGTTCGTAATTTTATTGTCATTGGATTATGGACTTTGTTTCATCAACCGTAAGTAGTTATTTTTATGTTATACAGGGTGGTGTTAGAAGTGTCTCCGACAGAATCTTGTAAATATAAATCCAAATAAATGTAATTAACAGCTTTCACACCATAATTATCAACTAGACGGAAAAAATATCTTGTGATCCGAAAATGAGATGTTTATCCCCTTTATAGTTACGGCAAAATTTAGGGGATAAATCACTTTCTTCTTATTTATTTTAACACGATAATGTCAGAGAACTTTTTTAAAAGAAAATATTTTACATAAAACAAAAAGACCCTAATGAATATTTAACAAGATTTGACAAAGTTTTAAAGGAAGAGGCTAGGCTGTAATTAAACTTTTAAATATAATTCAACTATATTGAATTACATGAATGTTCAAAAACTTAAAGTTAATATCGATTCTTTAAAGAATAAATAAAAAATTGACGTTATGTGAATCGAAAACAATGACCATATATGCACCAAATTAAAACTTGTAACTGATAGAACTAATTACGTAACTCCGTTTTAGTATATAGGCATAGTCGAGACGACAGAGATTGCGAATAAAACCAAATTCAGTAGCTTACTCTTAACGGTATTCGTATTGCCAGTCTCTAGTAGTAAATGTATGGTTTGACACACATCGAGATAAACCATCAAGTTTCCTATTAATCAAATTTAACAGCTCTCATTGTTGAGACTGTGTGTTCTGAACAAATCCATTAAAAACACTTGTCTACGAAGGTTTCAAATCTCACGTAATAATTACGAAGTAAGATTCGTATCTATTACAAATTCATTCGATTTAATTTTGTGCGCAACGGGTAAGTGTCCGCCTTAATTGACATTATAATCTAAGGTATCCGCATAGCTAGTAGCTTTAAAATACTATAAACACACTACAATACATTTTATCTCTATTAAATGTATTCATTAATGCAAAAAATCTCATCGTATCTAGTTAATTAATTGTTATCGTAACGTAGCCTTCATTAACAATGCATAAATAATAACTATTTGTCATTTAATTACTTCTCGAGTTATATGTTACTTCATTTATATTCGTAATTATATAAGCATGTATAAAATACTTTAAACTTTTAACAGCGAAATGACTTCCGATCTTTCCCAATAAATTTTCCAATTACCACAGCAAAAATCGAATTAAAAACATTGACTAAACTTAATCAATCGACTAAACTTATTCATGTTTAATATTCAAGTGATCAGATACCTCGCACAAAGTATCAGTGTTGCCGTTAAAAGAGAAAACGCCCTCAGCCCGTAGAGCACCTTTCCTATCAGTAGATAATGATTTGAGAATATATGTTGCAGGCTTAGAAAATAAAAATAATGATTTTAACTATAAACTTACATTGTTTACGAGTAATGACCAAGAATCTTAAAAAAATATTTCTTCAAAATTTGAAATTTTCAACTGTAGCGTAATTTAATTTTAATTTTTATAGAACGATACATTTTTTATAGAACAATCATTAAAATCCTTTATAGAAAAAAAAACATGATTAAAAATTATTAATTCTGCAATTCAGTACAAACATTTTCGATTTATATCCGAAAACACGACTCCCTTTTGGTTTGTTACAATTTCCATCTCATTAGCAGGACAGATAGATAAATCTATCTGAAAACGTTTCTCTTTTCAAAACACAGAGGGATTACAGAGATCATCCCTTCAAGCTTTCGTAGATAGGGAAAATTGGGAAATGGCTACAGAGAAAACTTTAGCATTTGTAGATAAAGATTATCAGTGTAATTCTTTATTTAATTAATTATTATTACTACAACATTTTCTAAGATAACTATTCAGAATTAAACAATTAATAAATATATTGCACTTATACTTGTTACTCGTAAATTAATTTACAATCAGCGAAGAGCACGTCGGATTCGGGTATAAAAAGGTTGAATACAAAGTATATGGAATCATAGATATCTAATTATTTTTATTGTTATCTATAGGCAGAGATTTTTCAAACTATCTCTGTAGTGTAATATCATACTATGGAATATGTTGTTTTCAGACATCCATTTTTTGAAAAATGTAGTATATAATATGTTAACGAAAATAACTCGAACTTTTATATTCTTTATGAAAAATGCTTAAAAATACACTTGGTCCCTGACACCGTGAAATAGGTGTAATAGATTTTAACTCCATGGAAGTAATTCGTATGAAATCTTAAACTGTGTGTCAGTGGCTCGGCCGGAGCGGATAATGGATAAAGTGCTATACAAATTCATATACAGATATGAAAAATCATGGAAATTCGTACAGATAATATTGTTTACCTTTAAGCATTTTACATAACAATTTAACATTAGTACAATAATAGCGAAAGTAACACATGTTTGAGATATTTTTCAGTCTTGCTAAGGATTTGGATAGCTTTATTAATTCGGGTGACTACTCTTACCATGGAGACAAAATAAAATATCTAAAATAATAAAATATAGTCTCAAAATAAAATATCGGTAAATTTACAATTAGTCACAGTAATACGAAGCATAGATTATACAAGATTTCTAATATGATAAGTATTTGATTTTGTTAAGTTGTTTTATCATTATCTTCTTTTTTCAGTGGCCGATGTAGAATGTGGCGTGTACCAAGCTCGACGTGCAAGAATAGTAGGAGGAGAAGATAGCTTACCTTCAGAATTCCCGTGGGCAGCCAGCATATGGAGACAGGGGGCTCATCAGTGTGGTGCTACTGTTCTCACTGACAGATGGCTATTGACAGCGGGTCACTGTATTTGTAGGTTCGTAAAGAGAAAAATTGACGAATTCACAAATGAATTGCTAATATCCTCCTTGTACTAGGGAACCGTATTATGTAATAGCGTATTTATACTTATCGGTGACATACGCGTGCGGCATGGGGATGAAATATATTCCTCGCTGTCATTGGCCGGTCATTGTTTTATTGATCAAAAGATCAACGCGCAGAGGTCACTCTTACTCCATTTTCTGACTCCACTGACCACTGTAAATACGCTTTATGCGATGAAAATATTCTTTATTCAGTATCGTTTATTAAAAGAACTTTGGAATTGTCCACCATTTATTGCTATGCCAGACATCTGTAGGTTGACAAGAAGAATGATCTTCACAACAATAATCTATGGAGTGCTATGACTTGTACATTTAAACTTATGGACTTATGTTTGCAGGATCACGTATAGATAAAGTTCAATGGTAATGGAGTGGAAAGAGGCCACATCAATTTAACCTTTTTGTGTTCAGCTGTCATTGCACAAGAAATATTGTTTCTCATTTTTTTTATATATAAAAACCTTATTCTTTTTCCTTTAATTGTAAATTTACCCGGAGCATACTAGATGTAGTATGTTTTGCCAAGAAAATAATGATGATGAGCAGCCAGCCATACCTGTCATTTTTCTAATCTATCTTTCAGCGCATTTGACGAATTCTACAAATCAAAACAGTTGACGGTAGTAGTTGGCAATATCGATATATCGTCAAGCAAGAACGGTGCTCAACAGCTTTCTAAAATTATACCTCATCCAGATTACAGGTAAGTATTGTACACAAAGTTGAATGATTTTATTACTTTTTTGCTAGACATACTTTTGAATAGGTCCCAATAATTTCCTCAAAATCGTTTTTAAATATAAATACGAGTACTGCTCTAATTGTCGTAATAGCATAGAATCCCATACTTTCTTGGTTTGTAATCATCAGTTCATTTTAGGTGTAACAAAAAAACCAATGATGTTGCTCTTCTAAAGACAATGAGGCAGTTGAAATGGAATGATGAGCTCCGACCGGCTTGTCTGCCTCAACCAACAGCAGAAGACTTTAGCGGAAATATGGCTACGGTTGCAGGCTGGGGATTCACGAGTGAAGACAGAGCTAAAGGTGCGGTGTGATTTCGAAAGCTTTTTTCACACACATATATTAATTTCTTTGGATTCCGCCTCTTTTGCCTGTTATTCCTTGCTGCATCAAAGTGTTGCATAGAAAATATTGATAGAAATTCACCTTTATTGGATATGGTACAATAGCAAAATACAAAGCACATAAGATGCCCAGGTGCAAGGCCCCCATCACAGGGAAAATGTTTTGAATTTTTTTTACACATATTTATATTTGAAAAAGAAAACATAAAAATTGGTTGTGCAAGGGCGGCGGCTGTTTCAAAAGAGTCGTTCAGCGTCAGCAATTGAAAAACATAAAAATTATTGAAATAAAATTTCAACTTAGGGCGTATTACCGAAGTCATCTATGAGTAGGTACAATACTACGAGATCAGACCATTATCGGCGCGGCGCCCGGGTGCATTACACACCCTGCGTCATGGGTTAAGACGGGCCTGACAAAATATAAGTTGTAAACCCATGATTTATTATAAAAATGTAGTGTAATATAGTGAAGACATCAACACTGTTTTTAATTGTATCATAAATTTGGAAATTAATTGAAAAGGGTATGAAATTAAACTATTAATTAATTAAACAAAATATGTATATAACTTTGCGATCTTTGTAAACTTTATTATTTCAACAACTAATAAACATTTCAATGATGAATCAGTAACATAATAATTGCATTGAAGAAATAAAATGAGGTATATTATGACTGAAAAGACAAACGCCTTCACCTATTCATGTATTTTAACGAAATTTATTATTCGACCTTCTGTAACTGTTACAAGATGAACATTGTGAAATCCACGAACATATCATTTGACTTGACTATGCAAGGCTCTCCTGGTTTTATAAATACTATTTGGACGACTAATGTCTTATTAACATAAAACTAAATGGAAGTAAATAATTTAAAAAAAAATGTATAGGTATATCACTATCATAAAATGAGTATCTCATAAAATGTGAAACGACCTAGTGAACGTATAGTTTTTGATAAAGCGAAACATAGAATACCACGTAGACTGGAAACAGGGCAAAAAGATGTTATAGAAAAGGTCACCAGATTTTAAATAATTATTTGCAACTTAGAAATCATAGACCGAACAAAGCTGAATATTATTTTAAAAATAATTATAAAATATATTTAAAGATGCACAGCAGGTCGAATGTGCAGTGGTTAGCTCATTTAGTTTAAAAACTTTCGCAATGGCCCAAATTTTTTTCTCTCGAACATATCCATGTTTCGGAAGGGACGCTATGCTTCTACAGTAATTAACGCCCACCAATCCACCTTTAGGGAGCTCTATGGTGCAGTAGTTAGCACGCTCAGACTGCGATACGGTTGTTAAGCAAATTCTCCAATTGGAGAAGGTGACCAAAAATTTATTATCTTGAGCTCCTAACTGAAACTCCGTGCTTCAGAAGGCGCGCTAAGTCAAATCATCAATCAACACTGGGCTCGCGTGATAGGTCACAGCCCATTTTCCCTATTTAATTCGATTCTATCCACAGGGAAGGCCTAAACTATAATAAGCTTATGATGATGACGGTGATGTCAAGAGTAGATAAGTAGTTTTTGTTAATGATCTTATTATTTTAAGGATCAAGGCCAGATATACTACAGAAGACCAGCGTATTGGTGGTGACAAACGAGGAATGTAACGAGTGGTATCAGTCCCAGGGAAGTAAAATCAAGGTTATATCTACACAAATGTGCGCCGGTCATGAAGACGGAGGCAGAGATTCCTGTTGGGTAAGTATTTGGTATTATGTCGTTGAATTCTCTATCTACGAAAGATATAGGGAATTGGATATAATAGGAAGATAAACTTCAAAGAAAATCTCAAAATTTTTTGCTCCATCTAGTGGGGCCTGTGACCTGTTAAGATGAGCCAAATTAAGCTCAATACTTACTTTTTCTCGAAGTACTTCGATTTATTTTATGTATTATTATAATAAGACAAAAATCCTCCCGCTGTCTGTACACTGAGAATTTTAAACTATACTCGATTAAAATCGTTTAAAATTTTAAGAATAACAACAACAATCTTTAATAAACTCTATTTAAAATTAGAAAACTACTATTACTATTAGAAATCTTTAATTTGGTAAAAGTTTGGTATTGTGCTATTTTCTTTATTGAATAAATGTACGCGTTTTGGAAAAATACGTCACCGCCTGTCTATTTGTATCACTAACATAAGATTTCGTTCCGTTTATTCGTTTTCATTTCGTTTCCAGCCCATCTGCCACTGGGTTATATCTATTCATACCGTAATTGAATTTTTTTAGAGAATACGCGTTGCCATGGGTTTTACCACAACAAAAAATAAACTCAATAATAAACTTATTATCCTGCGTCCTCTGTAGGGTTTCTTCCAAAATTAAAGCCAAAAAACTTCTGGAGCCATATTATATTATCACCCGGTTGAAAACCTTTCAGTTGAATTCTATTCGTTCTCCCAGAAGCCATGAAGGCAGCTCAGTTGTCAAAATGAATGTTATATAGTATATAGTTTAGATGTTTTAAAGATAACATTAACAAAACCTTAGCCCATAACCTCTTGTGCATTTAGTACTCTTTATTAACGAAAACATTACTTGTATATAATAATCAATATATTTATAAAATATCTCAAATCTCATTTAGTAGTAGAAAGTTATAAAAGGCAAATTTATTGTGAAAATAAATAAGTAGCTTGTTTATGAGAAGTTGCAATCATAATATGAATTGAAATAAATCTATTTTATGTCTGCTTCTTTTGAGGAAGCAATATATTTCTGACCTTGTCTATTTTCAGGCTGACAGCGGTGGCCCACTGATGATTCGCGAGAACAAACAGCACGCTATGGTCGTCGGGGTGGTTTCAACAGGCAGCGGCTGCGCAAGAGCCAGGATGCCTGGAGTATATACACGCGTCTCCAGATACACAGATTGGATCATTAACATTATCAACTCTGATAATTCTAGATCCGCCTTGAGTTGGTATCCACGTTTTGGATAATTAGAAACTTTAATGGCCGTTCGAAAATAAAACAATACTTATCTTAGTTTTGGATATCTTTTGTGAAACTCTACACGAATTCAAGACCAATTAATATGAATACTTACAGTAGCATAGACACGACAGAATATGCCACATGAATTAATTACGTTTCAATGTTTTGATTTACAACAGCCTTTGAATCTTAGTAGGTGTATGATAATAATATTTATTTTATGTGTCTAGATCCGCCTTTATTTAATTATCAAATCACTTAATTCAGGTATAAGTAATACCTACATATTTGAGCCACTAGGAGTTGAAATGTTTATATCAAGAGATAAAAAATAAAGTTTTGTGACAGGTCTGGTGATTAGAAGGCTTGTTTTTAGTTCGCTTAAAGAATTAGTTTGGCAATTCAAAGAGGAAACACTCGCAGTCTTCTGGGCTCCTTATCTGTTGGCAATGATTTAGGGGATATTTTTTATCTAGTATAGTTTGAGTCATAGCATAGATAATTAGCTTAATATTTTGTAAATATTTTTATCGTTGAAATGCATATAATTTTTTAACATAGTTCTAATTAATTGAAAATAATTATAGATAAAGTAAATGAAGATGTTAACGAATCTTCTTGGCTGGTAGTGAAATAAGAATGTAATTAAATTGTTTTAATTATACGACGCCAAAAAGGACTATCTCCAAATATTAATTGACACTTAAACATAAATCAAACACTTTTAAGAACATAAAATGATACTAGAGTTTTTTCGAGGGAAAATAATTTTAATTTAGAAGTATTATTTTATATAATATAATAATATATAGTTATACATCAAACAAAGAAACAAACTGTGATAGTAGCATGTAAGGTATATATATAAGAAATCAATAAAAATTGAATTAAAAAGTAATGTTTTTCTTTTGACAATACCTTTCAAAATCACTTTTAGTTTTTAAAATAACTTCGTACAGTTTCTTTCCTGAGGATTCATCCAAATCATCTTTTAAAGCATTTATAGCAGAATTGATGGTAACTTTTGCTTCTATAAGCAAAAGTTTAATTTCCTCATCAGTCATTTGTATGCCATCATTATTAACCGTTTGTGATTTCATAAATAACGCTGAATGCAGTTCATGATACAGAACAGCACTGTACAAACTCAGCCTCGCGTTGCCAGGATCCAATTTATTTGTAATATTAATTAATTCTCTACACATTTTAATTTTTTTATTTAAAATTTCTCGTGAAGTATAACCTGCTTGCCTCCCATAAAGTTGTATCAAAGAATGTTTTACCGAATACAAATGATAATGATTTGGGTGCAGATATGTTGAAAATCTACATAACAGATTTTCTAACATAATCGGTGATCCACCCATCATTTGCACATTATCAACTTCTTCGCCCATTTGCGATATAATCATGTTGACTTGAGAATTATCTAGTTTGATTCTGCATTTACTACAAGCCCATTCGGTTTCATCATCCAATGGGTCTTCGGGTAAGTGTATACCATCACAGGCGTAGCCATCACCCAAACATTTCATAGCGCTCAAAAAAGTTCCTAGCTCAGTAGGATCGCTACACCTTTGACATTTACATGAAAAATATTTTGTATCTTTTAAATGTTGCCTCCTAGCTTGAGTTCCCCATAAAGCATGACTATACATTGTACTTATGTGACAACCTTTTTCTATTGGAATTGCAACTTTGACTGTTATTTTATATAAATCATATTTGTTCTTAGCTGACTGAGAGAATGTGTGTTTTGTGTTCGGAATACAACTGTGTTCCATGATACAGGTGTTGGTGTACAACGCTAATAATTCAGCTCCTTCTGGGAGACGAATTTCTAAAGCATTCGTGGCAATAATGCCACACATTCTGTGTATTAATATCGCAGAAATTTCCGGGAGATATTGCTTTTTAGTATTTGCGTCAAGTTTGGCGATGAAGTCGTTCATTAAATACTCGACGATGAATTCGTTTGCTTCGCTGAAAAGATAATGAAACTCAATAAATAAAAATCTTTGTATGAAAACTGCATCATAAACAGAAACAAAGGTGTAGAGTGTATTCTATATAAGACTATTAGGAATATTATACTCTATCAAAGGCACTCTATCTACAAATGTTGCAAAGAGAAGTTAGACTTACACGCGTATTTCTATATAAGAATATTATTTTTTTACTTCATTCAAATTCTCGTATTATATTTTATTAGTCAAAATATTTGATTAAATTTAAATATTTCCTCAAGTAATTACTTCACTCGACTGTAGATACGAATATTAGAAACTCTGAACGACAAAACTTAAGTACTCAATATTCCTTACTCGTATGCTTCCGTTCCCGGAATGCGACATTCCATATGTGATTGCATCTGCAAAAGTTTCTTCCATTTATCAGGATCGACAGTCTGGAGTAATGTGCACCTCAGTGGAAGAAGTGCCTCATGCCTGGAAGTTTTTTTTAAAAGACAATACATAAGCTATGATGTATATCAGTTTTTAGATATAACACCATATCACACGCTTCTGATGGATTCCCCGAAGTCATTACCTTATTAGCTCCGTTATAAACGAAAGCCTGTATAATACTTATAGTCCCTAGGAACTCTAGACTCAATGTAATAGAATTTAAATTATTCATTAATTTTTGATTTTCTCATTAATACATACATACGTATACGTACATACATACATACGTATTAATGAGAAAATCAAAGTAAGCATTAGTATTCACCGCCCGAATTCTCAGGATTAATAAAATCTAGAAATAGCATTATTATTAAAAAAATTACGCCGTGACAGTTATAGAACTAATGAATAATTTAAATTCTATTACATTGAGTCTAGAGTTCCTAGGGACTATAAGTATAATACAGGCTTTCGTTTATAACGGAGCTAATAAGCTAATGACTTCGGGGAATCCACCAGAAGCGTGTGATATGGTGTCATATCTAAAAACTACTTTGTTTTTATTTTCACTAAAGACTATTACGTAGCGAATTTTTATATGGCATCTATTTTTGTTACATAAAATTAAGAGATTACTCCCTGTGGGCCTACGCAAACAGAAATGTAACAATCGGAGCAAAATTAATTTTAGACGTCATTCCTGCTTTACTATTCTGATAGACTGAATACAGAGCTATAACATCGTTAGAGGTTTCATTGAATAAAATATTTATTACATTTTGAAGTAGGTTTTATATGATTGAATCTATAATGCTGCGATGGTGATTTATAACGCAGCGTTCTTTTGCGGATTAGCACTACTGAGCTAATAATACCATGAAGGGGAACAAGTATTTTAAGTAATAATTCATCTGACTTTATTTCTTGTTTCGACTACAATGTTTTTGTACTTACCTATAATAATTTGCCATATCGTCTAAGACACATTCTGGTCGAGCACTTAGTATTTCGCACTCCACACCATGATGTTGAGGATCTTTGAGACCTGGGCAGTAGCCGGAGCAGACTGGCCAGCCGCATCTGATAGTGAAGGGGTGAATAAGATCGACATTTATGTGGCATTAAATAGAACAAATGCAATGCATCATTCTTAATGAATAATGCTTAAAAATCCACTTTGTCCTTTGCACTCTGAGATGGGACTCGAACCCATGACCTTTCGCAATCCGGACGACTAATATAACCACTGAGCTGTCCAGGACCTAACAGGACTGACGATTTTTCAAGCACTTGTTACTTTTAAACTTCTATAGAGCGTATTTTCATGAATGATCAAGCAATTCAACCAAAGTCATCCCATCAGAGTGCCAGGAACAAAGAGGATTAGTAAGTAATTTTCATTAAGAATATTTTTCAGTATTGTGAATGCAAAATTGTTCAAAAATAATTAATGCAATCATTTTATAGAAGATCGTTGTATATGCTTAAGTATCAGTCTGTTTTTTTTATATTGTTAAATATGACTAATTATGTGCTAAATATTACTATTATATTAAATATGCTGTAAGCATATCGTTATAATAACTAAATAAATATATAAGTAAGTAAAATTTTTCCCAAAAGGCTAGATGACTTTTTTATTTTATAAATAAAATAGTCAATTAGTATCTGAAACTAATGTAGAAGTTATAGCATGTCAGCGATTAATTGTTTGTGAAACTGTTGCTAGTCGGCCGAAAACGCTGCCTACCCAGCC